TTAATTTAGACTGTCACTATTTATTTATTAATTTATCACATTAACTAATTTGGACTGTCACTATTTTTATTTATTTATTCATTTATTTATCAGATTGATTTACTGAGTACTTTCATTTAATTTTCATTTTTAGTTGTTTAAATCATGTCACATGGTACACAGGGTATTTTAAATTAAGCACATGAATAATGACACAAAGTTGGAGATTTACTGTTGTATAATTATGTTTATATTTTTGTAGCGCAACATTTAAGTTTTCAATATAAATTTTGGCCTAAACGAAATTAGATTTTTTAAATTTTTTATATTGGATATGGTTTATAGCAAATTGTCAAAAATATAGTTTTTTGTCCAAAATTGTTGCTGTTTTTGTTTATAGCACAAAAAAATAAAAACACAGAGGTGATCGAAGACCCAGTGGCGTCCCGAGGCAGGTGTGGGGAGTGCGGCCCACACCGGGTGACACCAACCGCATAGGGTGACACCGGACCCGCTCCATGAAAAGGTAAGTTATAAAGAAAGCCGACGATCCCCGCAGGATGGATCGGATCTGCGTATTGAGCATAATGGATCAGAGTCCACAGATGGGGTGCTGTTTTATGCGTGAGTGCTGTTTTTGATGGAGTGCTAAGAAGCAGTTGAACACAGCAGTCTAATCATGGCTTCCCTGCTTTTCACAGGTAAACTGCTGCTGTCTGCTCTCTCCACTCTAAACTGCAACTACAACAACACATAGACTCCTACTATCTCTGAACAACTAGTGTATATATTTTTGTCTGTTGATTAGTTCTCACCTCCTGTTGCACTCTTTTTATGACTGTGGCCTGTGTCTGGTCTGTGTTTAAGAAACATCCCCTCAAATTCATGTGATCCTTATCAGTTCCTAATTGGAATGGAGAAGAGTGCTCATTTGACCATCTCCCTATAAGTTTAGATCAGCTCAAGGGGGGTGGTCACAGATCGGGGGCCCCATAGTCACAGATGGGGTGCTGGTTTCTGCGTGAGTGCTGTTTTTGATGGAGTGCTAAGAAGCAGTTGAAAACAGCAGTTTAACTAAAGCAGGATAACTCAAGCAGCAGGAAGATACAACAACAAGAAACTCTACTGAATGCTGGATAGACTGCAAGCAAACACCCTGGGAAACATCTCCTACAAGTCTGAGTCCCACTTCATGTACCTTTGTAACATGTCCCCTCTACTCCTCCTTTTCATATTACTATCCTGCGTTCGCAAAATCTCACTTTTCTTTACCCCAAAGATTACACATCTCACCCTCACTGCTACCATCTCCCTACTACTGCTCTCATCACCTCCTGCTGATACTTTACTCTCCTGCTGACCCAAACACCAGGACTGGAAGGCATGTGCACTCGTGTACATCCCGCTCCCATGTTACTTTCCTCACCCTTCTTCTTCTCCTAACCTCTGGGAATATCTCCCCAAACCTTGGTCCTCCACTATTTCACCCCCACACCAGGCATCCTCTTTCTTCCGGGAATCCCCTCAATTTAATATCCGTCCCAAAAACCACCCTCCCTTTTTCATGTGCACTCTGGAATGCCCGCTCTGTCTGTAATAATCTCACCTCTATCTATGACCTTTTTGTCTCCCGCTCCCTTAACCTACTAGCAATTACAGAAACCTGGCTTCAAGCAGCAGAGTCTTCTTCTCCTGCAGCACTTTCCTATGGAGGCCTTCTCTGGACCCATTCACCCAGACCCAGTGGTCGAAATGGGGATGGAGTTGGTTTGCTTCTATCCCCACTGAGCACCTTTCAAGTCCTCCCTAACCCTTCCTCTCTATCCGTCTCTTCTTTCGAGACTTACTGCATCTGGCTGTTTTCTCCCATTTCTCTGAAGATTGCAGTGATCTATCGGCCTCCTGCACCAGTGTCCCGCTTTCTTGATGATTTCTCCACCTGGCTACCCTACTTTCTCTCCTCTGAACTACCCACTATCATTCTCGGAGATTTTAACATCCCTATTAATGTCAACAACCCGGCTACATCCCAACTCTTCAACTTAACCTCATCTTTTGCCTTAGCACAATGGACACAGTCCTCCACTCACTCTGATGGGAATACATTAGACCTTGTTTTCTCCCATCTTTGCACTCCCTACAACCTCACAAACACCCCTTTCCTCTCTCTGATCACAATCTCATCACCTTCACAGTCTCCTCATTTTCAAATACCTATCCCTCCAAGCAGCAAACAATTACCCGCAGAAACCTTCACAACTTGAACCCTGCTCCCTTCCACTCTGCAATTGACCAACTCTATAACAGAATCTCTCCCCTGTCCTGCCCTGACCTGGCCACTGCTGTCTACAACAGCTCGCTTTCATCCACACTAGATTCACTTGCTCCTCTAGCAACACGAAGCATCAGGCCCTGACCAATACAACCTTGGCAGACTGACGACACCAGAAATCTTAAACGACATAGTCATGTGCTGGAGCGATTGTGGTGTAAAAACTAAATCTCAACAAGCATTCACCCTATATAAATCTGCTTTCTTAATATACAATTCCTCCCTCCATGCTGCCAAACAAGCTTACTTTGTCACTCTTAATAATACCTTGTCATCCAGTCCTCGTTGTCTCTTCTCTACTTTTAACTCTCTACTTTCTCCACCTCCACCTCCACCCAGTACCTCACTCACTGCTCACGAGATTGTAAATCATTTCAAAAACAAGATTGATGCAATTCGTAGGGGCATCGCCACTCACAGACATCCATCCCACTTAGCATACCTTATACTAAACCTCCCTCAACAATTTCCTCTTTTGACCTTGCTACTACCGAAGAGGTCACTAAGGTTTTCTCAGAAGCCCGTCTCACTACCTGCCCCCTGGATCCTGTCCCCTCACAACTACTACAGTCACCCTCTTCTTCCATCCTATGCTCCCTCACTCACATCGTCAATCTTTCCCTCTCTACTGGTGCCTTCCCCTCCCCTCTAAACCATGCGCACATCACTCACTCCCATACTTAAAAAGCCCTCCCTGGATCCCACCAACCTGAACAACTTAAGACCAATCCCCCTGCTGCCATTTACCTCTGAACTCCTAGAACGCTTAGTCTACAATCGCCTGAGCTCCCACCTCACCGACAACAACCTTCTTGACCCTTTACAGTCTGGCTTTCGCTCACTCCACTCCACTGAAACTGCCCTACTAAAACTCGCTAATGATCTACTAACAGCTAAAACCAATGGCCGCTACTCCATATCCTTACTACTTGACCTCTCTACAGCTTTTGATAAGGTTGACCATCCCCTCCTCCTCAAAAAACTCCACTCTCTTGGCCTCCGAGACTCTGCTCTCTCCTGGTTCTCCTCCTACCTATCGCAGCGCTCCTTCAGCATTACCTATAACGCTGCCTCCTCCTCTTCACTCCCTCTTTCTGTAAAGGTCCCTCAAGGTTCTGTCCTTGGGCCCCTTCTCCCATGGCTTTAAGTACTATCTCCATGCTGATGACACACAAATCTATCTTTCTACCCCTCACCTCACCCCTTCAGTCTCCTCTCGCATTACTAACCTACTAAGTGACATATCGGCATGGATGTCACTCCACTTCCTCAAACTCAATCTTTCCAAAACTGAGCTCTTGGTATTCCCCCCAGCCCATGCCCCCTCCCCTGACTTCTCCATCAAGATCAATAACACAATCATCAGTCCCTCCCCTCATGCCAGGGTACTAGGTGTAATCCTAAACTCCCATCTGTCCTTTCAGTCCCAAATCCAATCACTGTCCAAATCGTGTAGACTTCACCTCCACAGCATCTCCAAGATATGGCCGTTCCTAACCTCGGAAACCACTAAGCAACTTATTCACTCCCTGGTTATATCTCGCCTTGACTATTGTAACTCCCTCCTCATTGGCCTACCTAATCGCAGGCTTTCCCCTCTTCAGTCCATCATGAATGCTGCTGCCAGAATCATCCACCTTACTAACCATTCTGTATCTGCCACCCCTCTCTGCCAATCTCTCCACTGGCTTCCCATTGCCCAACGGATGAAATTCAAAACATTAACAATAACATATAGAGCCATATATAACTCTGCCCCAAATTACATCACCGATCTTGTCTCCAAATACCACCCAAACCGTACTCTTTGCTCCTCGCAAGACCTCCTACTCTCTAGCTCCCTTGTCTCCTCCTCCCATGCTCATCTCCAGGACTTCTCCAGAGCTTCCCCATCCTCTGGAACTCTCTACCCCAATTTATCAGACTATCGCCTACTCTGCTCACTTTTAGGCGATCTCTGAAAACCTATCTCTTCAGGGAAGCCTATCCTGCCCTCAGCTAATAATGGAATCTTCTACTCGTCCAACCCGTCCAAGTCCATCCCCCACAGTTACTACCTTTTGTACCACTATCCCCTCCCTCCTAGATTGTAAGCTCCAAGGAGCAGGGCCCTCTTATCCCTCTGGTATTGAACTGTATTGTTGCTGTATTGTCTCCTGCTGTATTGTTGCTGTATTGTCTCCTGCTATATTGTAAAGCGCTGCGCAAAATGTTGGCGCTATATAAATCCTGTATAATAATAATAATAATCATCCGCAGATCTGATCCATTCTGCGGGGATTGTCGGAGGGGGTGTCACCAAGTGTTACCGTACCGGGTGACACCAACCCTAGGGACGCCTCTGCGAAGACCACCAAAAGAAAGCTCTATTCATATATGTACAGCTTTGTATGACTGTACAATTGTCAGTTTAAGTAACGCAGTGCCGTATCATGAAAAATGGCCTGATCAGGAAGGGGGGTAAACCCTCTGGAAGGAAAGTGGTTAACAAAGCAGAGAAATGTGGCTATAAATGACAAATTATAGCAGCTGTTCAAATTAGCAACAATGCCTAAAAAGAACTGTTTACATTTTTGTTGGTAAAACAGCCATATGTATATTTTTAAATGTTACAACATGTTCTTTGAATTAGTCTGTTTGTTGCAGAAGGTTGCAGAACAGCGTAATAAGTGTTACCATGGATACTCACTTGTTCTCATTTGTAATGTCGTATCTTGGGAACGGGTCTTTGTCATTATCATTAAAGTCATAACTTGCTTCTGGATCCTGAAATACAAAGCATCACGTTAGGATAATGTAAAGCATAACCTCCAGTTTGTATTGCAGTCTACTCAGTGGCAAAAACTGAGCCTTCATTGTAACCAATGCATTTTGCTTTCCAGAAATGTGAAAATTAGGGTAAAATTTGGTGTACGTTCTTATAGCAATCTATACTCTCCTGTTTGTGAGGACTGAACCTATAATGGCACCTGACTAATGCCTTAGGAAGCAGGGTGCAAGGCACAGCACTTAGCCTCAACAATTACAAACTGATACTTTTTCCTAAAGTCTAATGGCCACCTTGGTTAATGTGGGATTAACGTGTATGTAAACCCTAATACTTAACTTTTCTTATTTACCCCTTTGGGTCTGTTAAATATACAATTGAAAGTAATTAGTTATATCTGTCCCATATATCAAAATAATGAAAAAATAGCTGTTGAAATCCAGTGCTGTCCTGTGCACTCATTTGCATTTTTATCATTAGTAGTATTACCAGCTCTGACTGGTTTACCTCTGTGTACTACAGAACACCTCCACCTTATGCTATGGAGATGAGGAGGGAGTGCTCTGTAGCCCTAATGCACTTCCTGCCCTACGGTGACAACACTCTTCCTCCATGAATACAGAGTAGTGACTAGTTACATAGTTAGTCTGGCTGAAAAAAGACAGAAGTCCATCCAGATCAACCATTAACAAAAAATAAAAGTTATAATCCTATACCCACAGTTGATCCAGAGGAAGGCAAAAAAAACTCAGCAAAGCATGATCCAATTTGCTCCTTCAGGAAAAAAAATCCTTCCTGATTCCCTGAGAGGCAATCGGATATTCCCTTGATCAACTTTACCTATAAATGTTAGTATCCAGTTATATTCTGTGTATCTAAGAAAGAATCCAGGCCTTTTTTAAAGCAATCCACTGAGCTGTCCAGAACCAACTCTTGAGGGAGTCTATTCCACATTTTCACAGCTCTCACTGTGAAGAAACCATTCCGTGTTTGGAGATTAAATTTCTTTTTCTCCAGACATAAAGAATGCCCCCTTGTCCTCTGTGATGACCTCAGGATGAATAGCTCTACACCGAGTTCACTATATGAATCACTGACGTATTTATACATGTTGATCATATCCCCCCTTAATCTCCTCTTCTCAAGAGAGAATAAATTCAGTTCCTCTAATCTTTCCTCATAGCTGAGCTCCTCCATACCTCTTATCAGTTTGGTTGCCCTTCTCTGTACTTTCTCCAGTTCCCCAATGTTCTTTTTGTGAATTGGTGCCCAAAACTGAACTGCATATTTGTACAGGGGTACTATGATATCTCTCTCTCTGGAGTCTATACCTCTTTTAGTACAAGAGAGAATTTTGTTCGCTTTAGAAACCATAGCTTGGCATTGCATGCCATTATAAAGCTTGTGATCTACCAGAACTCCCAGATCCTTCACCATTGATTCCCCCAGTTGTACCCCCCCTAGTATGTATGATGCATGCATATTCTTAGCCCCCAAGTGCATAACCTTACATTTATCAACATTAAACCTCATTTAGTGAATGAATGTGAAGACCCTAAGGGAAATAGTGCATACAGGAAAATTTTAACATTATATTTTCTTAGCCACACATTTTTCACAAAAGTCAGAGAAAGTATTAGATAGTAACTGATATAATTAGAAATGTAAACATACATAGTTTGCATAGATATCTGTATGGTTCCATTCCAGCCCATCATCAAGAACGGTTACAACACTGCCTTTCCCAGTTATTCCCTTCCTCCAGGCTGGTATGAGATGTAAATCCAGCTTTGGCAACTTTGGGTTGACTCTTGTGTCTCTCTGTGAACGTGAAAACAAGAATTACAGAGTATTTCATTTTATAATGTACCCAAAATCCTGAATGAATGGGAAACTGTTAAAGTATAAGTAAAGCCAGTCACTAAAATCTCATACAAGTTTTAATATTACACATTGAAGACTGTTGCAGCACGCGGGAACGCCGCAATATCCTCTCTGGCACCCACCTTGCCCACAGTCCTTTTCCGACTGCTGAAAACTTCAAACATGTAGAATAAATGTCCAATAAGTTGGGATCTTGAAAACCGCTGTCCTTAAAGCAGCATTTTATTGAAAAATGGAAGTCCAGCTCTTCCTCATCCTCCCCCCTCCTTTGCAAGTAATAGAAACTTTTTTTGGGGGGGGGAGCAGATACCTAGGTTTAATAGGTACCCATTCCCCACTTCTGCTGGAAACACCTAGGCAATCCCAGCAGAAGTTCTTTCCTCTCCTCCTTGCCCGCAACCTTCTGGGACACATCACAGGTCCCAGAAGGCTGCAGGGTCATTTACAGAGTGCAGGACGGCTTGTGCATGTGCAGTGGGGAACAGGTTGTGAAGCTGCAGGGAGTCACAGTGAGCTTCCCACACTCGGCATTGCGGTGCTGGAGAACCGAAGATCAGTGAAGAACCGGCCTGTGTGAGGACCACACTGGATCCTAGGATTGGCAAGTGTTCTTTTATTAAAGTCAGCAGCTACAGTTTTTTTATTGTTTAAAAATTGACTGAAGAACCTCCTCAAGGTGACAAGTGATGGCTGCTGCACAGATTAATCTTTTAGGGCCTTGCATTAACATGCAGTGTGATAAGGCAATCCATTCATTTGAATAGGCTGTCAAATGCACTAGAACCCACCAAAAAATGTGCATGTACCACAATGCATGTCAGTATGTTGCTGCTCTGTGACACATATCAGAGGCATGGTGTGTGTTAAGATGTCCTGCCCTGAGATATGCCATGCAGGCGTCGTTGGAGTGCATGTATGTAGACAGAAGGAGGATGATTTACAAAAGGATTTGAACATTTTCACATAATAAAATGTGTGACTATCTACCTTAATTATTCAGTCATGAGCAGATTGCAATAAGTATACATGGATTTTATTTTCACATGATTGAAAAACTGAAGTGAATCTTCACACAATTTATTGTGTGAACATTCATTCTCAAATTCTTTAGTAAATCAGCCAGTCTTCAAAGAGGCTGCATGGAATCAGTAGCACTGAGAGGTAGCAAAGAATGAAAAAAAGGTAAAAACAAGCAATCTATTCATAAATGAAGGAAAGTGTTTCTAATATACAGTGTTTTAGCAGACTACATGTCATTCAGGTATCATTTCCATTAGCGGTGTTGCTATGATTGTGATGGACCCGGGGCACCCTTGGGTATAACAGTGATGCAGTGTACTACGCATGCACACATAACAGTCCTTGTACCCACAAAATATGCTTTAGGCACTGTGCCTCAACTAATAATCTTACAGACATGTATAAGCCTCAGCACAATCATTAAAAAAAATTAAACTCTTCCATTATATAGTTATGAGAATTGAAAAAAGAAACAAGTCCATCCAGTTCAGTGTGTGTTTGTTTGTATCTGTGTGTGTTTTTGAGCTTGACATATGCTTTTTTGCACACGGAATATTGAAACAGAGCTAACACTTTTTGCAAACTTAACTTAAAGAAGAATTACTTTTAAATAGTTGGGGACTACTTAGCAACATAACTGTTAAGACCAGAAACTCTTTGGTCAGGAGTATATTCTGTAAAATATAGCATAAAGAGTGCAGGGGCCAGGAGTGTACAATACACAGAGCTGAGGAGTATATGACGCACAGGGGACAGTAACACAAAATGTACAAAGCGCAGGGAATAGGGATTTGTAGATCACAGAGTGAAGGGGTCAGAAGTATGTAAAGTGCAGGGGTTAGGAGTACAAAATGCACAGCATGCAGAGCTCAGGAGTATGTAAGGCACAAAGTACATGAGTATATAACATACACAGCACAGGAGCCAAGAGTAAGTAACAAACAAATTGCAGGGATCAAGAGTAAGTAAAGGGCAGAGTTCAGGGGTCAAGTTAGTAATGCGCAGAGTGCAAGGGTCAAGAAAAAGTAACGAGCAAAGCGCAGGGGTAAGGAGTACCTATGTGTGAGGGTCAAAAATAGGTAACACACAGGGCACAGGGATCAAGAGTAAGCAATGCAAAAAAGCACAGGGGGCAAAAATAAGCAATGCATTATGTACAGGGGCCAGACAAATTTCTTCCCCAAACAAAAATGACTCCCAATACAATTATTGCCCCAGCACAAATTCCCCTCTCTCTTTCTGTAAGGAACGCCCCTTGGTGCTGCTTTGCATTTGTAGAAAAATGCCACGGGTCCAGATGCCGTAACCTCCCACATTTATTTTGTTTTGTATGCTTAAGTAGCTGCCAGCTTCTGTCTTTGCCTGCCAGTTCACCCACTGCCTGTCAGGCCTGTGACACAGAGCTGTGGAGTATTTACAGAACGCTGTGTACTACAGATCTGACAGGCGGCAGGTCTACTGGCAGGCAAATGGGGACAAAACCCAGCAGCTGTTGAATCACACCAATGAAAGAAAGTAAATGCAGGTGGCATCGTCGGACCCATGGTACTCAGCAAAATATGCAGAGAATGTACCCTGGATGAACCATGCCAATAACCGCCATGGGTTTACTTCTTCCTTAAAGAGCATCTCCATTCAAAAAAAAAAATACTTTCCAACCATACTGACCCTCACCTCTCCATTCAGTGTTATGCATTGTTCATTCCTTAACTGAGTAAAGATGTAAACAGTTTCTTATGCACTCTAATGTATTTGGATAAAGTATTCTGCATGTCAAGTCTGCACTTGTTTCTAAGACTAGTGCTTTAAATCCCACTGCAGTCAAAATGAATGTGCCTTGATTCATAAAGTTGTACTGCGGGAATGCACCCTTCAATACACCTTCCCAAAGGATGCAAATTACAATACAGCACACCACATGGCAATGTGTGCATTGACACATTCTGCCAGCTCATTAATCACATTAACAGGCACAAATATGTGCATTAATGTACGTGAATTAATGCACAGCACCTCAGTGGGAAAGTGCAAACCTCTCCTTTCAGTAGGCTAAAGAAAAGAAGTTAGTCTCCAAGTAAAAGAAAGTGGCTAAATCATTCTAAATTTCCTCTGGCACCATTTATGCATGGTAAGTGAAGTGTTTGTACACATTTATTAATAGTTGGCAGGAAAGAAATGCCCGTAGCGGAAAAGAAAAAAAGAATTAGCGCAGGGCAGGCATGACTAGGCCTAGAGTGGGGAGGAAGAATAGAAAGGGTTAAGTATAGTGCCAGGGGCTTTGTAAAGTATAGCTGGGGAGCTGGTTGGTAGAGGGAGAGCGTGGGTGGGCTCTTCTGCACCTTAGGGTGGGGTGTTCTGGTGGGGGGAGTCAGTCGGAGCTGGACGTTGGTGAGAGAGCTTCCCTCCCGCCCTCCCTATTTGGTGAGTATTGTGTTCCTCTCGGGGGGAAAGGGGGGTTATTTCGGTTCATGAATGGTTGTTGGTCTTTGGAGGCGGTTCTTATCTTGGAAGTACAGATAATGGTGTGGGACCCATCGGTGGTATGGTGTGCCCGGAGACATTCCAGTTAACCAAGGTTTAACTGCAAGGTGGTGGTGCTGCACAGCGGACGGTATGGTTGTCTCCGAGCTGGTTGGTTGCGGCTGGAGGCCTTTGTGTAATATGGTTGTCCGCAGGTGCATTTCAGATCATTTTTGGGGGTGCCTTCGAAAACCAACAACAACTCTGTATGTTTCTGTTATAAGGAATGGTTGGTGTGTTAAAACGTGTTTGTTAATAAAAGGCTGTGTTGGTCATTTTACTCCAAAAAATTGGTGTCATGTTTTCTGTAAGTATAATTCTAAAAGGGGGGGGGGGGGGGGTTGGTATGGAAGGGTAATGGTGGTGTAGTGGGATCTGGATGAACCTATCTCTGGTGCACTAGTCATGCATCTATTGCTAAGTTTACTCTTCAGAATCAGCTGATGTATTCCAAAAACAACAGAGTAAGTTAAGCAATGATGCAATAGGTGTTTATGGCTCCGATATAATCTCATAGCGTTTAACTAAATGCAGTTGTCCAACTCATCAGCCAGGTTATGGGAAGTCTGCTCTTTGGAACATTTGTACATTTGGGTCATTTTCTCTTTCTTAATTGACTAGCTTTAAACTGGTATGAACTATTTATGCATACTTTCAAAAGCTGCTACCAAAATATACACTCTCTTATGTTTTTTTTTGTTTTTTTTTTTTTTCTTTACGGAACATAGATTTTTTTATAAGCAGTAGCTTGGATGAGGCATTTATGAAAGGATTAATAGTTAACTAACTTTTGCTTGGTGCCTACTAACTAGTTTATTTTACATACGAGATGTTCCCGTGGGATTTGAATGCTGTTATCCATGCACACATTTCTTGTTTTTAGAAATTGCAGAAGTTACTACCCTGTTGCATTTTTGTTATGACGTGCCATTGTGTGGTTTACTGAAACCTCTATTCTGTATCCTGATTGGTGCTTCATGGAAACCACCTGAAATATGCAGTGTTATCATTTATTACTTAAAGCTTGATCATTAATAAAGAAGTCGAATTTTGCATCACACATCTAGGCGTCTGACTTGCATTATTCCCAAAGTACTTACATAGTTAGTCTGATTGAAAAAAAAAACAAAAGTCCATCCAGTTCAACCATTAAAAAAAAATAAGTTATAATCCTATACCCACAGTTGATCCAGAGGAAGGCAAAAAACCCAGCAAAGCATGATCCAATTTGTTCCTGCAGGGAAAAAATTCCTTCCTGATCCCCGAGAGGCAATCGTATATTCCCTGGATCAACTTTACCTATAGATGTTAGTATCCAGTTATATTCTGTGTATCTAAGAAAGAATCCAGGCCTTTTTTAAAGCAATCCACTGAGCTGGCCAGAACCAACTCTTGAGGGAGTCTATTCCACATTTTCACAGCTCTTACTGTGAAGAAACCTTTCTGTGTATGAAGATTAAATTTCTTTTCCTCCAGATGTAAAGAGTGCCCCCTTGTCCTCAGGTGAATAGCTCTACACCAAGTTCACTATATGAACCACTGATGTATTTATACATGTTGATCATATCCCCCCTTAATGTCCTCTTCTCAAGAGAGAATAAATGCAGTTCCTCTAAACTGGCCAGAACCAACTCTTGAAGGAGTCTATTCAACATTCTCACAGCTCTTAGGGCTCATGTACACTGCAGCTGATAAACTAACGTTCAGGAGCTCTTCTGCATTTTTTTCAGCAGCCCCTGAACTCTCCCTAATGTTTTCCTATGTGTCTATGTACACTATGTCGTTTACAGTCGTTTACAGGCAGTTGAGTTTACAGTCGTTTTTTTTTAACGCACCAAACTTGCGTTCAGGAGTAGATTTTATCAGCGTTTCAAATGCCAAACCCTTGTAAACGCTTGTAAACACTGCTAACCGCATTTATAAGCATTTGCGTTTAGAAGCGTTTTTTAACTGTTCCATATCCAAATGCTGTCCAGAGCCTTTTTTCATCATCAGAAATGCATGCAAAGCTTTTCCATGTATTCAGCGCAGTCAGTTCCAGGATTTGCGTGAAGGAAGAAATGGTAGAACGTGCCGCATTATGCTCATGCTGGGATCCATAGTGAATACAACCAGAAAAGACAGGTAATCTCAACACATACTGCTCTCTCTCTGCTCTCTCTATTTCTCTCAAAATGTCTGAAATAGTTAATATTTTACTGTTTTTCAGTGCATTCTGGGCATTTTGGAAGGTCTCCTGATATTATCTTTAAAAAACACTTCTAAACGCAAACGCGCATAAACACGCACAAACGCAGCTAAACAGATGTTTTTTAACCTACGTTTTCCAGCAGTCAGTTTCCATCGTTCAGAAGTGTTTTCCAAACGTTCCGTGTACATGATCCCTTACAGTACTTTGTACTAGATGTTTGTATGGAGGAAGTTGGCCTAAATTGATATTCCTAACAATTTCTATGCAATAAATATACACTCACTTTCTTAGGTACACCTTGCTAGTGCCAAGAAAAATATCCCTGACACCATTACACCACCACCAGCGTGAACCATTGATACAAGGCAGGGTGGATCCATGCTTTCATGTTGTTTATGCCAATTCTGGCCCTACCAAGTCGCAGTAACCAGTCTGCCCATTCTCCTCTGACATCAACAGGGCATTTTCGTCCGCACAAGTGCAGCTCACTGAATATTCTCTCTATTTCAGACCATTCTCTGTAAACCCTAGAGATGGCTGTGCACGAATACTCAGACCAGCCCGTCTGACACCAACAACCATTCCAATTCAAAGTCACTTAAATCCCCTTTCTTCCCCATTCTGATGCTAGGTTTGAACTTCAGCAAGTCTACATGCCTAAATACAATGAGTTACTGCCATGTGATTGGCTGATTAGCAATTTGTGTTACAAAGCAATTAAACAGGTGTACCTAATAAAGTGGCCTGTGAGTATATTGCAATATTTACTACATGCAGTGTTTCTGTTGAATCTGTGACCTGGGTCAATGATCACTAAGCAGGAAATCCATACACCTGTGTAAGCTGCAACTCAGGCTTATACAGGGGTTTTCTTTCACTCTTGGTAACTGAATAGATAAGTTGGGACGAAAAGGAAGGTAAGTAAATGCTGTTAGGGAGAGCATTAACCCGTCCAAGTATTTACTTTAGGAAAATACTATTATAGAATGAAATGGCTTAAAAACAGCACCTACCAAATACCACTGTTTTGTCCACAAAGGATCATTAAAAAGGTCTTCTGAATCTGTCTTCATCACAAAGCCTCGTTTAGTTCTTTGCTTGATATACTGCTGTTCTGCCCACGAGACCTGAAATTAACATCAAATTCATCATGTCATTTATGAGGATATATACTCTACAACCACTGAACATTTTCCAACTGAAAAGTGATGGTGATGTCACAAAAGTCATCTTGATGTTGGTGACAACTTGCCAGAAACAAGATAGCTAACAGACTGCTTACTTCCACCTATGGAGTCACTCCCTCGGTAGCATTGTTCACAGTCAGCGGGAAGCAATTTCATTAGGGGCAGTGGTTTTCTTGTCCAGGTGATTCTGCCACTGGTGATGTACATAGATGATTTACCTATATGTGAACTGTTTTACCCGTCAAAAAATTTGTCATTGTGTTCAATGTAAGTCAATCTTGGTATCTAAACACTCACCTTTTTGCTGACCTCAAATTGTTCTACTACAGTTAGGCAATACCGTTTTGTCACCAACCTTCCTCCCAGCCTATGACTAGATAATGAAGGAGTAGCTGTACACTGATGAGCTCATTGTTCTGCACAGTCAAGGACATGGCCACCAAACAGCACTTGTACAGGAACAATTATTGCACCCCGCATTCAATTCAATAACGCCCAACACACTACTTATTCACTGTGAATAGATAGATAAAGGTGAAGAGTAGATGCCCTGAAATTTCTCATGGGTCTTAATATGCAACTGGGGTCAGATATTGAATTGTGCCGAAATGGAATCAAGAGGCAATAAAAGAAGCAATCTTCATGTCTCATTGCCAGTCAGGCAGGAATTTAATAAGGGGCTTGTTGCTCTATAACAAATATATTACGATTATATTACATACCAGGAGCAAGGTTATGGCATGATGAAGAATAGCTCTCATTTCTCACTGGTCCTAGAGGGCCCCTAATGCCCAGATGGCCAAAATGCAGCTGCACATTCTGCTTGCCCTTTCTGTAAGTATGTTTTAACATTACAAAGTGACTGTCTCAGATTTGGTACTGCTGTGCAGGGAACTGCAGGAGGCTAATAACAGAGCAGATCCAGGTACCTAATTGTATGTGTAGCGCCCTCTAGGGGTGCTAAAGAGTTACATTTAGTTTGGCTCACAGTAGTGAAGTGATTGGGTTCTTTAGGTCAGGTTGGAAGGTTCTGCAGGTCAGGTCTCTGGAACCTCCCCTTGGTTCTGGAGTCTTCCAAGAGATCCTAGAAGCTAGTGGACAGAGGGGTGGAGACCAAGATCTACATATTAATGCGAGTCTGACCATTCCCAGGCAGGAGGCCTAACAGTGTGGCACACAGGCCCATAATTATGAGAGAACCTAGCCAGAATAGCAAAATAGTCTGGCAATTGGGTGGTATATGGGGTGTTGAGGACTGTGGAACCTGGGAGGGAACCCCGGGAAGGGGGGCTCTGCCTCCAGGCTGGAGCGAGGAGAAGGAAGGAGAATAAGTCTGACAGAGGGAACTGCACCACTATTCAGAAGGTACCCTGTTCAGCATGAAAGACTAGCCCTGCTAAAGGCCTGAACAAGCAGTCTTATGCAAAACCGCAGGCTACAAGGGACAGACAGTAAGTACCCCTAAACCCCAGGGACTACAAGGGTGAGGGCTGCCAGGTACAATACCCAGCAAGTTCTCCCTGGGACAATGCTAAGTACTGTTCTGGAATCCCTTGCTCTGGGATACTCTTAAAGGCAGCCAGGTGGGTGTGTAGTTTCCATCTGGGGTCTGAAAAGGTTCACTTAGAGGGGACCAAGTGCTACTTAAAGAGACTTTGTAACTGATCTGTTAAGAGACAGAAGCCACTCCAGAGGAAGTAGAGTCCAGGATCCATACTTTTTTGAACAGAAAATAGGACGTTTGTCCTCAGAGTTACTGTTTCAGTGTCAGTGTGTCAAGTTGGGCATCCCATATACCCCTAGATAACTCAAATAACCTCAAATAAAACAACCAAAAAACAAGCCCATGGACTGGTTACCTACTCTGAATGGAAGTGGGAAAATGCGTGTTGCCTGGCTGTGCAGATATAGGGGAACCGAAAAAACTCAGCGGCTCCCTAGGAGGTAGTGCTACATATGTAAAAGTAAATATAAAGTTCTTTAAATTAATATAAAACTGAAGTAAACTGTTTTTCTGCCTGTAGTTCAGCGTTAAAACCTCCATTTCAAATTTTCACTCCTTCCCCAGCCTGTCACTCTAGAGAGAGCTGGAAGAGAAGAACCGACAGTCACTGTTCTCTGCTGCCAGCAATCTGAGAGCTGACTGATCAGTGATCATGTGACCTGTCATCTCACAATTTTACATGGAACTATCCAATGCTGATGTGTCACAGAGATGCTGTGGGTTTCTAGAGGAGTTTTTTAGCTGTAAAAAAGGGCAAAATGCGGCTAAACTCTAATGCAAAAACGCTAAAAAACGCTGTAAAAATTGTGTTTTTAATGTGACTTTAATCACATTACCATTACAAGTTATTAAAACGCCCAGTGTGCATGGAGCCTTATTTATGAAGGTGATCATTACATATAATAACAACTGCTGCTAGCTGACATCTGTAACACTGTTAATTTTGTTGGGAAATTACCCGGTTATCATCATACAACCGCTTTGTAATGTGTGGGGCACTTCTCCGCGATCTCCTGGGATGATCCCTAGGTTTGAATAAAAAATGGTTTGGAAGCGATCCAATCTGTAAAAACAAAAAAATGATGTAATTAAATACAGGGAAAACATAGTACTTTAAGCTCATAAAGTATATAGAAAAACAGTCAGCAGTAAGCATCATCCAAGAATCAATGCTTCTCTTGCTGTGTGTACATGTGTACATTATTTCAGCACAACCCTATGCAATTTCTCTGACTATATTATAGCCTGTGCGGTAATCAAGCTGAAAACACATAATGCCTTGTGAAAGTGGGCGTAATTAAAATAAGCTATAGCATATTGGCTGCTTTAAGCAACCTCTGTCTTTGTACATGAGTGTGGTTTTATGGTATTACTAGCCGCAGGCAGGGAACTCTCATAAATTATAGAGTATGTTATCTCTACGCAGAGTCATTCTGCCCTTGCATTTACATAAAGCCAGTTACTCATTCCTAGTTACTGTGACGTCATGGTTTCATGGAAAATGTACATTTCTACACAAAAGATGTTTACCATTATTTTCTCATTGACTCATGCTGTGTCGGAAAAAAAAGAACTAAACTCTGCTGTTATTCACTGACAGCAGGCAGGCTTTTAATTGCAGAAAAGACATACAATGTCTATTCTGTAAGAAAATATACCTACCTGCCTGCTCTCAGTGTTCCCCAAAAATAAATTGATCTGGGAATAGGTAACTCAGCTTACAACGGACATCCTAATCCCTCTGTCCAGGACGACCAGCTCCCGCACCTGCCCAGGAGTGATGTTATCTTGCGCCAGCCAATGAACATGGCCAAAAACTGGCACACAGAAGAAGATGGTGGCACCACTGAAGAACAAGGATAGTTGGAGGAAATGTGTGTATTCATCCTCTGAGCTCTACAGAATATTCTGGTGGTAGTGGAAGATTTGCTGTGTTTTAGCAAACATCTGGAAGTGCTAATTGTGCCCACGCAGTACACCTAAAAATGCACCCTTTGTCTTGAATTTCTTTTTAAAAATAGCTGCACTCTTTCGGGTATATGAGGGTGCCTAAGCACTCCTGTGCCTACAGGCTCATAGCAGTATATCTAAAGTGCAAAATCTTAGGCACTGCTAAACTGTGAAATCTCAGGAGCTTTAAAATGAGATTTGGTGATGTCACCACTTTGCTGCTCATTGTACTTGTTGGAGGCTCTAACTCGAGGAAGCAAGGCTCTACTTACACCAAAATAACTGCATCCATGTGGAGATACAGTGCAGACCAAGGCATGGTAAGTCAGAAATGGAAAAAAGATAAGCGACAGGCAACACTCTTGACTTGGTCTTTACCCTTTGTCTGATATTTTTTAGGCACAGCTTTCAGAGTTCAGATTCTATTTATAGCTATAAAACCTAACAAATGTATACATTTATTTCTTAAAATCATTTAAATAGTCCTAACTGGGAAAGCTTTGCTAAAAAGGACTCGTCAAAAATATTGCCTTTAGGTTCCCTACAGATGATCTTTAGGGATGAGCTAAGACAGGTTCAGACACAAGTCCGAACCCACCTGAGCTTATCTTCCAAAAAGCTGTGAAACAGCCAATCATAGGTGTCAGAGACATTCCAGACCCCGCAGCTACACATAAGGAGCCTGAATGCATTTGGCTGTGGGGCAGGGAATGCTGCCGCCACCTATGATTGGCTACCTTTGGTGGCCTCTCGACAGGATAGCTCAGATGGGTTTGGACTTGTGTCTGAACATACCTAAGCACTTCGCTGCTGATCTTTTCTCCATTCTTGACTTACCATGCTTTGTTCTGCACAGTGTCTCTGTAGAAGGCATCTTGGTTGTTTCCTTATTTCAGAGCTGCCCACTGATGTCTGGTGATCAGATGACTGGTGGGGAAAGATTTAAGAAGCAGCAGAAAAGGTATAGGAAGCACTGATCCACAGAATGAATGATGTAAGAGCAGGAAGATGCTTGCATTGCAGGTCCCCAGGTACAGATTAATCTCCACCAAGCATCACAGTAGTGACATCACCAAACATTGTAAGACTGGCAGTCACAGGCAGCAATGCCTCACAAACCACAGATGTATAGCTATAATGCTTAGGCACAGGAGTGCACAGACATCCTCACTTGCCAGGAAGTGCACTGCTATTTTCAGGAGGAGATACAGACAAAAAGATAGGTACTGCTGAGGTACCTGTAAAATTTATATATTTGAACCCTCACCTTGAAAAACAACCCATTAAGTTTAAAATAGAAAAGGAAACATTATAAATACCTTTTTCTTTCCTTTTTATCACATACCCGTTGTTCTCAACTGCATAAGGAGCTTGGAGAGCTGGGTGACGAGAAACAGCAGTACACCGGTCTTCCCAGTGAATGGCTGTGTGTGTGTGGGGGGGGGGCTTGTCAGCACATGCCCAATCATTGGAGCAAAGCAGACTGAGTTCCAGCTTGCTAGAGAACTGACCACAGTGTGCTCTCATGCCTAGTGTGGTCAGTTTTTAATAGGAAAGCAGAGGGACTGGATGGACACCAGGGATTTTACACAAAGGAAGCAATACAAAGAGAACAGGATACTTTTTCATGCAAGTATGGTACAGCAACCATATATCAGGAATATAAAATGTTGGGTTTACATACTCTTTAAATAATTCCTATTAGATAACAAATCTCTATTTTCTGAGTTCAGGTCCACTTTAAATAGAAACATACAAGTAAAAAGCACACTACCTAAAGCAGCCACTCAAAATCCGTCTTGTACTAGATTACTATGGATTACCACACTTGCACTTAGTTATTTGCTCCACTTCTTATTTGGTAAATACGCCTGGCAGTATCCTTCATATGTGCTACAGGAAAGGCTACTTTTCACAGGCTGTTGTAATCTAAATTAAAAATATTATTTGCCTTTTTTTTTGCATAAATTTAAACTGTAGTTCAGTAACAACATAATATAAACTACAAGGTCATCTTTTGCTGGACAACATTGGGTCAAGTGAGAGATTGGCTTCTTGAATAGGGATGAATCAGTACAGAGTCTGGACCTATCAGCCCAGTTCAGATAAACATCATCTGTCTTTCAGTAGCAGTACATACACCACTCAGTGTGTGTGTGTTCACAAAAGAAAGCAAACAGAGACAAGAACTACTGCAGGGGCAACACAAAGAGAAAGGAGGAGGTGTGTATGTTCATGAAAGCGTCATAATGGAAAAGCAAATCAATAATTCACCCTTGACCCTAAATCAGGATGTAGAATATTTACAAGCCTGCTGTATTATTGTGGATAGAAAATTGTTGAACCATTGTTGATTTCCCCTAACTGGAAGATTAGAAGCAGAATTCCACATTTCATGTAACTTTAAATAGTTCATTTGGACCAACCTGACTCAAACAAACTATTTTCTTTACTAAAAAATGCGGCTTCTGTTTGTGCTGTAATATACCCTAGCAGACATTTACACGCTGCAAATTTTAATTTAATTTCGGATGCGTTCATTCATTGAGGAATTTCAGTTCATCATATTCGTTATGTTGAGCCAATCCATTTTCATAATTCATTTTGTATATATCTTCAGCATTCGTTTTTTATATTCGTTAGTCCGGGTACAATCAAAAACCTTTGCAGTTTTTCCAGAAGATTGATATATATTCATTATAGTATCAAATCAGAAGGATCTGAATTGGAAGGATTCAATAATTTCGGCTGCTATTCCAGCCTACCAGGACAAAGGGCATGAGCTGATTGTACAATATCGACTGGCATCATGTTCATCCAAAGGAACTAATGGAAGGGAATTCCCATCCATTTGTTATCCCATTCTGTATTATTAAATGTACTTGAAAATTTAAATCAATTCCCCATGTGCGCAAACTGCTATCGTATCGTGTGATGTCATCTGAATGAAACAAATGCATTTGTTAATTTCGTTATAACTTTTTTTCTGATTCGTTGACATTCATTACTATTTCCAATCGAAGATTCGTATACATCTGAATCTCTGAAAATGAAATTTTAGTCCAAAAAAACAATCGTAACAAAATTAAACTCATGTCTATACCATGTCCCAGCAGCAGAATAGGTGACTTCCAGTCTGCAGCCAAAATTGGGCTGAGTGCTTCTCTGCCATTCAGAAATGTAGTATTTTTTTATAATGAATAGAAGGCTTGAGGAGGTCAAAGTAACACAAAAGGAAGTGAGAGACAATCTCTCCGAAGTAGGGTTGCCGCCACCTCATCCCTTTAAAACTGAACACATATTAAGTACGCAGGTTCTGGGGCTGATTAAGGTGGTAATAAAACTCACTTGGTGCCTTGTCTGCATTAATATGTGTTTGGGTTTAAAGGGATGAGGTGGCAACCTTACTCCGAAGTGAGAGCAATCCCCTCTTCCAAAACAGGTTACTATTGGATGATTTCCCCTCTATTGTTGTTCTGGTGGCAGCTCAAAGTTTCACGATTTTCCTCACTTTCAGGCCTGGTGACTATAGTCACCTATACATTAGTATATTGGTACCTGTACAAATGAATATGCTTGGATCAGAATGTGCCAGCATACAGTCGCCTTCTGTCATTGATTTATACAGGTGGCTGTATGCAACACCTGCGAAGTGTTTTATGTTCCTGGTTTAGCCTTTGCTCAGCTATGAACTCTAGAAAGCCACACAATAAAATACAATTGAAATCTCTGTATCTATGGATGTCAGTGGTATGGAGACATTATACAGTAAGAGGATTGCTGTTTTCTAAACAGGTAACAAGGTTGTGGCCATATTTTCTACACATAGTCGGGGACATAACATGCCCCAGGTGCAACGTCAATATATGGGGTGGAGGGCACACTTGGGAGCTTCAGCCATTCTGTTCTCCAGCACGTTGTTGACAGGAGTGACTGCAGCATTGCTCCTGTCAGAAGGAACAGGGGCCTTGATAGCTGCTAGGGAGAGGATTCTACTCTGTATTCCTTTAACAGCAGCCTACTGTGGATGAAAGAGAGTGGGTGCCTTCTAAGAGTACACCTGTGTCTCAGCAGAGCACCACTGAGGAGTGAGAGCAGATTTCCCCTCTTCCTGTCTCTGGGCGCTGCACT